GAAAGAGTCGAGATGCAGGGGAGAAGGTGTGTTACTGCAGGAGAAATCCTGGAGCTTGGAACGGGCGAGATGCGCTCGGGTGGGGGCTCGCTGAAGACAGGTGAGGCCGCGCGGCCGGGCGTCGGGGGCGCAGCCACGCGCGGCCCCTGGTCCACAGGAAGGCACGGACCCCGGGCAAGCAGAGGGGCTGCCGAGGGCTTCGTGCCGTGGGACTCTGTGATGCCCCCTTTCTGCCCCTCCCCCGACGTTCTCAAAGGCACCCGCAGTTGTGCGGGGCAGCCTCACGCTCTCCAGGGTGGATGACACTCATCCCAGCCTCGCATCCCCACCTCCCCGTCGCTCCTGTGACACGATTTCAGGCAGGACAGCCCTTCAGGCCCATGTTCAGATAACTTTGAATCATTTCTCTTTAAAGCCACCTCCGTCCGTATGTTGTGGTTTCCAAGGCAAAAATGGGTGTTTTGCGTGGGAAGATGGTGCAGGGGTACGGGCTCTGCGTTGTGGAAGGTGAAAGCCTGTAACTCTTCCAGGTCTGTGACAAGAAGCTACTACAGGGGTGCGGCAGGGGCGCTGCTCGTCTACGACATCACCAGGTAATGACACCCCTCGCCGGCCTGTGCTCCCCGAGGTCCGAGCCTCCCCGTGGGTGTTCTGGGCACGTCGGTGGCAGGGCTGTGGGTCGGGAAGCCCCTCAGCCCTTTCCCTGGGGGTCTTAGGGGTTTTCGAAGCAGCCCCTTCCACCGCTTTACCATGTAAAGCAGCATGTTCCCAAGCTTCAGATAGATAAGCATCCCCAGTGTCATTATGTTTCTTAACATGATGTTTTGATACTTTCCTTAAGGTTTGCAAAGTGAAGCTTTGCATGTGGTAAATTATTAGAAGTAATGGACTCCATCAAGCACAGGCTCTAGGCTGGGACGGCCTGGGTTCAAAGCCCACTTCCCGTCACCAGCGGTGTGAGTCCTCCGGCGAGGTGCTCCGCTGTCTGGACTTTAGTTTCCTTGTCTGTTCCATGGAGTAATGACCACGTAATACTCGTGAGGTTGTTGGGCAGTTGATTTGCTTCATATAGAGCTCTAGGCCCATCATAAGGATCTGAGTGCATGTCCTGCATGTAGCTATCACCCAGGTATCACAATTAAATTTAAAATTCAGTTCCTTGGTCAGTCCTTAGAATATATGAGGGTTTTATCCTTAGATAGATGAGGGCTGAAAACAGTCCTGAAGGTGGATGCACCTGATCCAGTCCTGGCTCTGCCACTGACTGCTTGTGTGACTTTGGGCAACTTAGTCTCTCTGGGCCTCAGGTTTCTTGTGGAAACAGGAGATAATAAGAGTCTGTGTCACAGAGTCCTTACAGAGAATCAGTGTGTTAAATTCCTGTGAAGCAAAGGACCAGCGCGTCACACGGATCCATTGAGTGGCAGCAGTTAGCCTTAGGTCCTGCTCGCATGTTGCATGAACCGAGAGCCCAATAAATACTGACCCTGCTTGGGCAGACAACAGACAGCGAGCTTCTGACTTGTTGCCTCATTTTCATGGAAACAAGATGAAATGCACCCTGTTGGTGTGGTGTACACCTGGGGCAGCCAGGTCATCTGAGTCACCTTAAAGGTTGTGGGCATTGCCCTGTGTGTGTAGAATCGCTGTGAGTGGTGTGAGTGACTGGAAAGAGTTGCTAGCTTTATAAAATACATGTACTATTTTCACAATCTTATATTACGCAGCCGAGAAACCTACAATGCGCTTACTAATTGGTTAACAGATGCCAGAATGCTCGCGAGTCAGAGCATCGTCATCATCCTCTGTGGGAACAAGAAGGACCTGGACCCCGATCGGGAAGTCACTTTCCTAGAAGCCTCCCGATTTGCTCAGGAAAATGGCAAGTGGCCTTGCACCTGTCACACCTGCTGAAGGTTTAAGATGCAGCTGTAGTTAGGAAGTGTGGAACTTCCTATTGTTTTTACTGTACATTAGACTCATTTAACACAGTCTCACCCTATTGCATTCTGCCCACGAAGGTTACTACGATGAGGGACTTCCCTGGTGGTCCAGCGGT